CCCAGGATGAATAAAATACGATTTTCCTAATGTCATCTGGATGTAATGGCTTCCTTCAGATATTATTTCCAGTGGCAACATTAAACACCATCATACTCAAAATGTGAGTTTGGGAATCTCATGCATTTTAGATGGAGGTACTCAAAACCTCTTCTCTTGTGTCTCAGCCTCTAATGTGCACATGAATCTCTGGGAACCATTAAAATACAGATTCTGGGGCTGGAGCAATAGCACAGCGGGTAAGGCAATTGCCTTGCAAGCAGCCAACCTGGGTTCAATCCCTAGCATCCTATATGATCCCCCAAGCACAGCCAGGAGTAATTCCTGAGTGCAGAGCCTGGAGTAACCCCTGAGCATCGCTGGGTGTGACCTAAAAAGAAAAAAATAATAAAATATAGATTCTGATTTGGTAGTTCCGTGGTGGGCAGTCTAGCCAGTCCTCAGAGGAGGTGGCTGCTTGCGGTTCTAGCCAACAGACTGAGGAGTAAGAGTCAAAGACATTGATTCAAAGATAATGAGAGGTGGGAAAGCACTGTTTTATTTCACCCACCGGTGGGCCCAGTGGAGCTTGTGCTCCAAAAATACTGACCCGCAGAACAAAGGTCAGAGCTCCATTTTATAAAATATCTGATGGGGGATTTTGCAGGCAGCTGGCAGGAGAGTACAAAAGCAGAAATTCCCCCAGCATGTTATTTTGCAAAGCAAGGTTTGTTACACTTCAAGGACACAAGCACATTTGGAGTGCATTTGCAGGTAACCAAGGATACAAAGCCAGACTGTGAGCAGCTCAAGGACATCCTGAAAGCACTCCATGGTTGTGTCATGTCATCTAGACTCAGCTGCCCCTGGGCGTCTCCTGCTCTCTGGTGCTAGCCTGCCGGAAGCCAGCCTGTTGGAAATATGGAAAGGGGTCTATTTTCCTCATCTCTCTCACCCCAGAACCACATATTATTTCATCATCACTGTGATCCTGGGAGGAAGACATCATCCCCATTTTAAAAAACATTTTTTAATCATTTTTTTTATTAGTGAAGCACCATGAGGTACAGTTATAGACTTATAAATTTTTGTGCTTGGGTTTCAGTTATACAATGATCAAGTACCCATCCCTCCACCAGTGCCCATCCTCCCCCACCACGGGTCCTAGCATCCCTCCCACCCCCCATCCCCCACCCCCTCCCCCCGTCCCACCCTGCCGCTGTGGCATTCCCCCTTGTTCTCTCTCTCTTCTTTTGGGTACTGTGTTTTGCCAGAGAGGCATTGAGTGGCAATCATGTTTGGTCTATAGACTGTTTTAAAAAGCATTTTTATTAAACCACCATGATTTATATGTTACTCACTTGGGTTTCAGACACACTATGTTCCAGCAGCAATCTGACCATCTGTGTCTCCTTCCCTCCCCAGGTTTCCCAAGCCCCCCTTCCCTCATCCCCAGCCTGCCACCTTGACAGGCAGAGGGTTTTAAAATTTGGCTGTTGTTGGGGCTGGAGAGATAGCACAGCGGGTAGGGCATTTGCCTTGCACGCAGCTGACCCGGGTTCGATTGCCAGCATCCCATATGATCCCCTGAGCACTGCCAGGAGTGATTCCTGAGTGCAGAGCCAGGAGTAAACCCTGTGCATTGCCGGGTGTGATCCAGAAAGCAAAAAAAAAAAAATTTGGCTGTTGTAATTTGGATCTCTTGTTCTCAGTGTTGTTGGTCTTGTGGCTTGTAGAATTCGCTATATGACTCCTTTACACCACCCATATACTCAGAATCCCCTGAACCCCTGCTCCTCATTGCGTCCAATCTATTTCTTCTTCCCCACTTAGTTTATTTCCTTCTCTGCCCTTCTTCTCCCTCAACTCTGGGACCAAGGGTGATCTAAGCACCCCGCCCTTTCAAACATTGCATTTCTTTGTCCAGCTCTTCTCTAAACATTATTCCTATTTTACAGAAGAGAATCAGATGCAGAAAAAGATTACTGTCCAAGGATATGCCAGCAAAATAGACCACAGAAAGCGGGGGGTGTGACATGAAGCCTGTGTGTGGCCGATCTGTCCTCTCTAGCCACTGGACCAGCTGGAGGGAAGTCCCAGCCCACCCGTCGCACTCCCCTCCCAGCCCACCCGTCACACTCCCCTCTTGGCAGCCAGCTGTGTCCTGCTTATTGTGCTCCGTGGTATACCCTCAGCTTCGTGAAAAAAGCTTCCACCCGATTCCTGCTGCAAGAGATTTGACTGTGCAGGGGTTGGGGTGCTACCCTGCTCCCGCCCCTTAGGAGCTGACACCCCTGAACCTGCTTTCATGTTGAGCACTTTTGCAGCCCAAGGACTAGTGTGAAAACCAGAGGCAGCAGCTTGCTGGAAGCATGAAAGGATGAGGAAGTTATAACAGACAGTGAGAACCGCAGATGAACTGCAGATGAACCACAGAGAGCACCGGGGCAGAGAGGCACAGGGCTGGAAAGGGGGATGGAGGGGCCCAGGGGACATGCAGGGTAAGAAAACCCCACATATGCTCTCTAGTTTCTACGGGAAAGGCGGGAGTATCTGCATGTATTTTCCTGACATTGCCTTTCGGGTCTGCAGATCACGCCCTGTCTTCTCTCTCTGCTCCAAACCTGGCAGGGTCAACTTCCCTCCAGTACTGCTTGATCTGCTCTAACCAAGAGTCTACTAGACACATACTTTTTGAGCACCAGTTAACAAGCAGGCAGGCACCGCTCCAGGTCCTGGGTTGCAGCTGAGACCATAGAGAGCAAAGAGGAAAGTTCCGGCTGGGATGGTAAATCCAGACAATGAGCACCTAACCAATCAGACAGGATCATCTCAGGCAGTGCTGAGCACTTAGAAGAAAACAATAGAACCGGAGGACTGGAGCCAAATACAACAGTATGTTTGCCTTGCATGTGACTGACCCAGGTTCAAACCCCTGCACCTGATATGGTCCCCAAAGCCTGCCAAAAGTGATCCCTGAGTGTGGAGCCAGGAATAAGCTCTGGGGTGGAGCTATAGTACAGAATACAGGGCATTTGCCTTGCACAAGGCTGACCTGGATTCAATTCCCAGCATCCTGTATGGTCCCTCAAACACTGCCAGGAGTAATTCCTGAGTACAGAGCCAGGAGAGAGGATCCCTGAGCATCAACTGATGTGCCCTTTCCCTTCAAAAATAAAAATAAGCTCTGAGCACTGCTAGGTAGCTTCCAACTTAATTTTGTCTGGATGATCAAGCAGGTGACACTGAACGGTAACCTCATTGAGAAGACACGGACTTGGGGAGTGGTGCAAAGGCCCTGAGGTTAGTTGGTACTGCAGGAACAGCTTGAAGGAACAGGAGCCACAAGGAGAGGCTGGTGGGAGGAGACCAAAGAGTGGGTGGGCAACCTGGCCATGAGGGGCCCTGCAGGGAGCCTCCCAGGGATTCCCGTTTGATTGAGTATGATGCACAGGAGGCTGAGCACCACACTGGTGCTATCTCCTGCCCTGCAAGATCGAAACCTCGGATGACCGCCCCCTGGGAAACTGGGACGAGCTGGGGCTCTGGGGACAGAAGGGGCGGGCTTGGGTGGGAGGAGGATTTACACGTTCAGACTCTGTCAGGGTCCAGCTGGCCTCACAATCCCGAGTAATCCTCGCAAACCCTTTCTCCTGACACATTTCCTGGGGAGCCTCCCGCTTGCCTGGAGAGTGTCTAAATCCTGGACCTGTATCGTGGGATCCAGACTAAATCCAGCAGCTGGAGTCCCGTCCTGGTTGGCGCTTTTCCCAGACCTCTCTATTGGGAGCACGTGGGGTTGACCAGAGGCCTTGGGCAGTCCTGGGGACATGGTCTATGAGGCGGTGGTTGGGCGAGGGGTCAGGGGGGTCCTCAGCCAGCCGTGCCTCGCGGTGTTTCTTTGGAGAGATCGTGTAAACTAGGGCCCCGGGGATGGCGCCAAGCCGCCGGCTTTGGGCGATTTAACTTGCCGATAGACACCGCCAGTGGCCTGGCGCGTGGGAGTCCGCTCAGCGCCCGGCTCGCGCCGGGGTGGGGGCGGGAGGGGGGCTCGGCCGCCTGCGGGCGCCGCTTCTCGCGTGGGGTTGGCCGGCGGGTCGCGCCGGGCTGGGCAGCAGCCAGGGGCGCTCGGCGCGGAGCGTGTCCTTCCTTCTGGGGAGGAGGACCCTGGGACAGGGCAGTCACCGACGACCTCGGAGGAGAAAGTGGGAAGGGTCTGGCGCCAGGGTGCGGCGGCTTCTTGAACGCAGCTCCGGGGCTGCCCGCTCCGGGAGGACGGGGAGGCGAGGCGGGCGGGGATCCCGGTGGCGAGACGCGGGGAGAGGATGGGGAGGAGGAGGGGGCGCAGGGGGCGCATCCGCCTCGGCCGCTCCTCGCCACCCCCGGCCCGCGGCGCGCGTTATGTAACCCCCAAACGTGGCAGCAGGGGAGCGGCGGGGAAGGGGAGGGGGAGGGGAGGGAGGCGGGCCCGGGGAGGGCGGGGGCGCGCGGCAGTGGGCTGGACTCCGGAGTGTCCTGGAACATTCCCCAGGGACTCATCCCCCACCCCACCCCCACCCCGTTCCCCGCCCCCACCCGCGTCCGGGCTCTCGGTCCACCCGCCCGCCTCTGAATGCATTTCCCTTTCGGGGTGTAGTTGGGTTTTCCAAAGTTTCCAGCTTTGCTCCCTCGGCCACGCGGAGCCTCAGTTTACCAGTCTGCACAGTGCGGGGTGATGGAGAGGCCACGTGGAAAGTGTGACTCGGAGAAGGTGGGCAGGGCGTGTGTCCAGGGTGGCCCGGGACCCCCGGGACCTTTCGGGGAAATGGGGCATGTCCAGAGGCTCTGGCCGGCTGTAAAGGGCAGCGCACAGAGGCCAGGCAGCTGGGGGCGGCGGTGCGGGGCGCGGGGCGCGCTGACCTCGGTGCCCCCTCGGGGGTTCGCCGGCGCTCTCCGCCCGGCCCGCCCCGGCCGCCCCCGCCCGGTGGGGGGTAGCGCGCGGGCGGTGGGCGGGCCGAGGGCCGCAGGGGGCGTGCGGCAGCGCAGGAAGGGGCGGGGGGCTCGGAGCCGCAGGCAGGAAGAGACCGACCCACCGACAGTCGCTGCGCCTCAGTCCGCCTCTGGACTTCGTCATGTGGGGTCTCCTGCTCGCCTTGGCCGCGTGTGCGCCTCTGGCTGGCCTGGGTCTGGGGGCGCCCAGTACCTCTGTGCTGGATCTGGCGAAGCCCCTCTCCACCGAGGCCGGGGTCTCCACCCCGGAGCTGAGCAGCCCCACGCAGTCGCCTGCAGAGAGCAAGAATGGTGAGCTCCTTCCTTCTGGGGGTCTTTGCCCCGCTAGCCTCTTCGCGCCTCCGCGACGACCCCTCCTCAGCGTGCACACACGCAGTCCCTTCCCCAACACACATGCACGTGCATGCACACGTGCGCACACATAGTTTCTGGGAAGACCCCCCAGCCCACACGTGCACACACACATGCACACAGACGTGCGTACACACGGGAAGGCCCCTTCCCCAACACACACACACACACACACAAATGCACATACACACAATTCCCGGACTCTTTCCCAATACCATACACACACACTAATACCATCCTCAACGTAACACCCTTGCACACACATGCACACACGCGCACACGCTCTCTGCCCCTGCAGCGGCTGCTGACTCAGCACCCCCAGGTTCTTGCCAGACTGAGTCAGCAAGTCAGCAGTTCTAGGCCGGCAGCCAGTGGGGATGCTGCCTCTTCCCGCCCCAGTTCTTCCCTCCTCACAGATACGGAAACAAGGTCAGAGCTGGAGGAGGGAGACAGGAGCTAGCCTGGAGGAGGGAACCTTGAGGGCACTGGCAGGGTAGAAAGGAGGAGAGAGAGGGGGTCACCCCGGGGGTGCAGCTGAGAAAGGAGCATTGTCTGGGGAGGGCGAGAAGCAGGTTACCCATCTCTAGCCTCTCCCCAGCAACACGCCCCACCTCCCGTGGATCCTTAGAGGAGGAAGGCGAGGAGAGATGATCAGTGAGGGTTGAGGAGGTGAGGAGAACGGGTCCTGAAAGGTGAAAATGTCTGAGCTAAGAAGAACTGGAGAGGACAGCCAAGAAGGGAAAAGTATGTACAGAGGCACCAGCTGTGATGTGAACAGAATGTTCTGGAAGTACCTGTGGGGCTCGGGTAGGTGGGGAAGTGGGATATCAGCTGTGGGCAAGACACCAGGGGGTGAGCTGGACCCTGGACAGCCTGAGCACTGACGCAGACATGGCTCAAGGACAGACCACTCAGCAAGGGACGATGGCCTAAGGACTTTGGGCACAAAACCAACAGGAGCTAAGAACATGAGGCCTGAGGTCTATAAGAAGAATGGGGGCCATGAGGAGGGGACAGCTGGGGCCAAGGACCATACTCAGTTCCTCATACTTTGTGTATGTGTGTGTGTATGGGGGGTTGAGGGGAACACATCCAGCAGTGCTTAGGGCTCACTCCTGGCAGGGCTTGGAAACCAGGGAAAGCACCAGGTATTGAACCTGAGTTGTCTGCATGTAAGGCAATTGCCTTCCATGTCATACTCTCTCCAGTCCATACACTTTTTTTTTTTGCTTTTTGGGTCACACCTGGAAATACACAGGGGTTACTCCTGGCTCTGCACTCAGGAATCACTCCTGGCGGTGCTCAGGGGACCATATGGGATGCTGGGAACCGAACCCGGGTCGGCCGCGTGCAAGGCAAACGCCCTACCCGCTGTGCTATCTCTCCAGCCCCCATACACTTTATTTTTAAATAATTTTTTGGCTAATATTTTGGTGGTGGGGGGGACTGGGTCACACCGGCAATACTCAGGGGGTACTCTTGTCTCTGCACTCAGGAATTACTCCTGGCGGTGCTTGGGGGACGATATGGGATGCCGGGGATCAAACCCATACAAGGCAAACACCCACCCTGCTGGACTATCACACCAGCCCCGAGCTCATACACTTTAGAGCAATCAGGTAGTGCCTCGTGGCTGGAAGATGGTACTTGCCATGGGGTGCTGCACCCCCAGAGGTAAGTCCGCAGCAGGGAGAGCACAGAAGCGACTGGCAGGGTCATGGGGTCTGACTGCAGCTCCGTGAGTCCAGCAAAAGCGCTTAGATTCTGTGCTGGAGTCTGCTGGGATGGGCGGGGGTTTTACAGTCTTCTTCCCTCCCCTGGGGATGCTCCTTCCTGGTCCCCAGGCACCTCAAAACAGCATCTCCGGGTTCGCATCACCAAGAAGAAGGTTATCATAAAGAAGCGAAAAAAACTCACACGGCCCAAATCCCGGGTGACTACTGGGCCCCCAGTGACAGCTACCCCTGAGCACCCCAAGCAGCAAGACCCAGGTACTGCCTGGCCCAGACGCACGGCCTGGGAACACATGGCATGCTAATACTCGCCTTCCCATCTTTTTTTTTTTTTTTTTGCTTTTTGGGTCACACCTGGCGATGCTCAGGGGTTACTCTTGGCTCATGTAATCAGGAATTACTCCTGGCGTTGCTCGGGGGACCATGTGGGATGCTGGGAATCGAACCTGTGTCGGCTATGTTGGCTGCGTGCAAGGCAAACGCCCTACCCGCTGTGCTACCGCTCCAGACCCTCGCCTTCCCATCTCTTGACACCCGCCTCTGGTTCTGTCTCACGGCCCTGTCCCTGTCCCAGGCTGTCCCCCTTTGGGTCTGGAGTCCCTGAGAGTTTCCGATAGCCAGTTCGAGGCATCCAGCAGCCAGTCCTTTGGTCTTGGACCCCACCGAGGACGGCTTAACATCCAGGTCAGCACCTCCTCACACCTTAGCCCCTCACCCTAACCCACCCCCAGGGGTCCTCTGGGCCTTATCTTTGTGCCCCCTGTCTGCAGTCAGGCCTGGAGGATGGGGATTTGTTCGATGGGGCCTGGTGTGCAGATGAGCAGGACCCCGAGCCGTGGCTGCAGGTGGACGCGAGGCGCCCTGTCCGCTTCTCAGGCATCATCACTCAGGGCAGGAACTCGATCTGGAGGTGAGGCAGGCTGGCCCTGACCAGCAAGCCTTAGGCCAACCCCAGAGAGTTCTCGGCGTCTCCACGGATGACCTCCCCTTCCCCCTCCTGCCAGGTACGACTGGGTCACCTCATTTAAGGTCCAGTTCAGCAATGACAGTCGGACCTGGTGGGCCAGTAAGAACATCAGCGGTGGGATGGATGCGGTGAGTGTTGCCATGGTAACTGGAGTCCTCTATGCTGGAAATCAGGTAGCACTGTTGGGGGTGGGGCTGGGGCTTCTTGATCATCCCCAGAAGGAAGGGATTGCTGTGAGGATGGGTGATACCTGGCAGGTAGCTCTGGGAGCCAGAGTATATTGGCACATGCCCTCATCCTCCCCAGATAGCTCCACCATTGGGTGGGTGCCACTTTGCACTACTGCTGGAACCTTCTGCAACTCTCCTAACAAAGCACATGGGGTTCTGGACTCACTTGGCACCTCCACACGGCCCTGGTTTTCCCATCTCCATCGCCCTCTGGCCACCTTTAGGATTGGCTGTTCCGAGTCACATGGCCACACGAGGGTTGATGAGCAGCCCCTGTGGATGATATTGTTGGCAGGGCCGAGGGTGGGCAGCAGGCAATATTGAATACAGAGTGCCAGTCTCAGTGTCATCTTGGAACCCTGCACCCCTCCTCTGCGTCCTGGGCTGGGCTGCTGGGGTTCGAGCAGCTCTGCCCAAACACTTACTCCCCCCAGGTATTTCCTGCCAATTCGGACCCCGAGACCCCAGTGCTGAATGTCCTGCCGGAGCCCCAGCAGGCCCGCTTCATCCGCCTGCTCCCCCAGACCTGGCTGCAGGGGGGCGCAGCTTGCCTCCGGGCCGAGATCCTGGCCTGTCCCGTCCCAGGTGCGCCAGAGAGGGCAGTGTCGGGTGCAGCAGCCCCCACTCTGAGCACCCCCTCTTACCAGGAGCTCCCCCTTCCACAGATCCCAACTACCCGATCCCCGAGGCACAGATCCTGGGGTCCCCAGACCAGCTGGACTTCAAGCATCACAATTACAAGGCCATGAGGAAGGTCAGCCATAGCCCAGGCCACTGGGGTTGCCTGTCCTTGCTCCCTGGTGGCCCCTGACCCCTGTCTGTCCACTTTTCCTCTCCATGACTCTACCCCCAGGCTCCTTCTGTGGGTCTCTGGAGGCTCCTCTCTTCCCATTGTGCCCCCTCCCCGGCTCCCATGGCTTCTGAAAGCCCTTCCATGTCCCCCAGGGGACCTGTCCTTTGGGTTTCCTTCTCCCTGCCACTCACCCCTCTCTGCTCCCCAGCTGATGAAGCAAGTGAACGAGCAGTGCCCCAACATCACCCGAATCTACAGCATAGGGAAGAGCTACCAGGGCCTGAAGCTGTATGTGATGGAAATGTCGGACCAGCCCGGGGAGCACGAGCTGGGTACTGGCAGGGGGTGTGGGGTGAGGCGGGCACGGGGCAGGGGCCCCGGGGCGGCTGTGAACCCCTGTTGACCCCAGGAGAGCCAGAGGTGCGCTACGTGGCTGGCATGCACGGCAACGAGGCCCTGGGCCGGGAGCTCCTGCTGCTGCTCATGCAGTACCTGTGCCAGGAGTTCCTCCGAGGGGACCCGCGGGTGACCCGGCTGCTCACCGAGACGCGCATCCACCTGCTGCCGTCCATGAACCCCGATGGCTACGAGACGGCCTTCCGGCGGGTAGGGCGCCCCTGACCCCCCAATTCCCCTCCCTGACTCCCAGCTCGCGGGCCACGCCCCTCCCGCCCTGCTGCCCCAACCCTGCTCGGTTTGACCTGCCTCCTTCCTTGCCAGGGCTCTGAGCTGGTGGGCTGGGCAGAGGGGCGCTGGACCCATCAGGGCATTGACCTCAACCACAACTTTGCTGACCTGAACACGCCCCTGTGGGATGCAGAGGACGATGGTCTGGTCCCCAACACCGTCCCCAACCACCACCTGCCGCTCCCGGCATACTACGTCCTGCCCAATGCCACTGTGAGTGCTTGGGGGTGGGGCTGGATGCAGGGTTGCTCCCAGTGGCGCCTCCGCCGCTGCCTCGTTTCTGCATCCTGCCCCGCCTGACCTGCGCCTGTGCAGGTGGCCCCCGAGACTTGGGCCGTGATCAAGTGGATGCAGCGGATCCCCTTCGTGCTGAGCGCCAACCTCCACGGCGGGGAGCTCGTGGTGTCCTACCCCTTCGATATGACCCGCACCCCATGGGAGGCCCGTGAGCTCACGCCCACCGCGGATGACGCCGTGTTCCGCTGGCTCAGCACCGTCTACGCGGGCACCCACCGGGGGATGCAGGACCCCGACCGCCGGCCCTGCCACAGCGAGGACTTCTCTGTGCATGGCAACATCATCAACGGCGCCTACTGGCACACGGTGCCCGGGAGTATGTGCCCCCCCAGCCCAGAAGGGGGGTTCCCTCCCCATGAGGCCACCTGCTGTCCCCCCAATAGCAGTCTCAGCTGCCCCTGAGGAACGTCTTCCAGAATCGGGCACTGGGAGGGTGGGCTCTCCCACCCTCTAAGCTCTGGTGCCCGCGGTACCCCTAGGCATGAATGACTTCAGCTACCTGCACACCAACTGCTTTGAGATCACCGTGGAACTATCCTGTGACAAGTTCCCCCATGAGAGTGAGCTGCCAATGGAGTGGGAGAACAACAAAGAAGCCCTCCTCACCTACCTGGAGCAGGTGGGGTCTCTTCCCCGCAGCCCCCGCCTGCCTGCCCACGCCCGTTTTGCTTCTTTGCCATCCTCTTTTTTTCTTTGTCTTATTTTTTTTCTTGGGGGGAGGGCATGCACACTCACTGGTGCTCAGAGGTCTCCTCTCATGGGCTCGGTGAACTATAGTGGGTATCAGGAACCCACCCAAGTCAGCTGTGCTCAGGAGTAGCACCCCCTGCCTGCTGTACTAGCTCTCCAGCCCTGTGGTTGCTCCTATGCCTTTCACCGGGGGCTTCAGCTCCCAGTGCCCATTGGGCTGATGTGGAGGTGGAGAGGACAGGAAGTCCAGTTTGCCAGCAGTTTGCCGGCAGCCTGCTGACAGGCCAGAAAGAAGGGACACATAGTGGTCCAGACTGTGGCCCTCGAGCCTCTGGCGGGGCCTCTTTGGGCTCTGCAGGAACTCAGGGCCCAGTGAGTGAATGGTCACATAATAGAGCTGCTGAGGGTTGTAAAGCCACAAGCCCAATAGCGGAGGTCCTGGGTCTTGGGGGAAACCTTACCATTGGTCTTTGGCTTTCGTATTCATAGCCCTTGGCAGCTGGAGAGATATAGTACAGTGGGTAGGACATTTGCCTTGCTCACAGCCAACCTGGGTTTGATCCCCAGCACCCCATATGGCCCCCTATCCCACCTGGAGTGATCCCCGAGCACAGGGCCACGAGTAGGCCCGCCTTGAACACTGCCCCTTCCCCACAAATACCCCATATTTATAACCCTCCCAGTTCCCAGACAGCTGCTAAATCAATTCATTTTTGGTTTTGAGGCCACACCCGGAAGTACTTGGCACCAATATGTGGTGCCGTGGTTCCCCAGGACTTGAACTGGAATCTGCTGTTTGCAAGGCCAGCGCCTTAGCCCCTGGACTGACTGGCCCCAGGAGATAACATTTGTCACCAGCAGATAGGCCACCTTTATTTATTAAGTTTGCAGGCGGACAAGGTTAGAAAATTCACTGCGGGTCACATACTTCTGCAGTCAGGAAGGGTTCGATTTGGTTTAGTTTGGTTTGGGGAGGGTCTTCCAAGCAGCACTCAGGGGACCCCGGAGTCCACTACCAATGACACTCAGTCAGCTGGGCTGGTGCTTTGGTGCCCGGGCTGGAGGATGTGCTCCCCGGGTCCTGTGGTGAGGGCCCCTGGGGCTGTACCTAGGGATGCTCAGGAGAGCATGCGGTGCAGGGGGTTGGGCATGCCGGCATGCGCCCTAACTGCGGTGCTGTCTCTGGCCCAGGGGGGCTTCTGACAACCTTCCCCACACAGGTACGGATGGGCATTGCAGGCGTGGTGCGGGACAAGGACACGGAGCTGGGCATTGCTGATGCTGTCATTGCCGTGGAGGGGATTAACCACGATGTGACAACAGGTGTGTGTGGGGGGGTGGGGTGGGGGGTTCAGGTTGGATCAGAAGCAGGGGGTTTCAGCATCCTGACCTTGCTCCCTTTTGCTTCTTGCAGCCTGGGGCGGGGACTACTGGCGCCTGCTGACCCCAGGGGAATACGTGGTGACGGCCAGTGCCGAGGGCTACCACACAGCCACACGGAGCTGCCACGTCACCTTTGAAGAGGGTCCCGTTCCCTGCGATTTCCACCTCACCAAGACCCCTAAACAGAGACTGAGGGAGCTGCTGGCAGCTGGGACCAAGGTGCCCCCCGACCTTCGGAGGCGCCTGGAGCTTCTGAGGGGGCAAAACAGTGCCAGCTGACGAGCCTCAGAACTGCGGGCGGGCTGGACCTGTCCCGGACTGAAGCGGGGAGGGGGAAGGGGCGCCTCGGGCTCATTAAAGCTACCTGGCACCTCAGCCTCTGGCCCTGTGGTCTGTTGTCCCAGGTCCCTTTCGCCTCCCTGGGCGAGGCCTCCTGCCCCTGTGCCCACCCTCTTCTGCACACACTTGCCCTTCCGTCCTTAGTTGATTTCATGTGCGTTGGGTGAGAGGACCCCACTTAGGTGCTGGGTTTGTTTTTTGGGTGGAGGGTGAGGAGGAGGAGGATGTTGGATTGCATCAATAGTGCTCAGATGCTATTGCTGGCTCTGCTCAGGAGGGACCCCTGGCGGTGCTCAGGGGACGTTGGGGATGCGCTGGGGTGGAACTGGGGTTGGTAGGACACAAGGCAAATGCTTTAGCTCTCTTATTATCTCTATAGTTCTCCACTTGACTTTTCGAACTGGGGTTTTATCTCTGCCCAGCAGTTTCTGCAGCAGGCACCACCAGGGGTGTTGTGAAGAGTTTTTGTTTGTTTGTTTTTTTGGGCCACACCCCACAGTGCTCAGACCTTGCTCCTGGCTTTGAATTTTGAACTCACTCCTGGCAGTGCTCAGAAGACCGTACGGGATACCATGGATCGTACCTGATGCAGCCAAGTGTGATGCAAACACCCTACCTGCTGTAACTATCATTCCAGCCCCTCAAGTGTCTCTGACATTATGGGGGCCACACTGGCAGTGCTTGAGGCCACTCTTGGCATGGTGCTTTGGGGTCACTCCCAGTGGTGCTTGGGGGATTGAGTCTAGGGTTTCCATGCGCAGAGCAGTTACTCCCCCTTGTACTCAGCTTCCTGTAAACTCCTGCTCTGTCTCAGGCAGTCAAGGCCAATGTCCTGGGCCTCCTAGTCAGGGAAGGGCAATGGTTCAGTCCAGTGCCAGCCCACCGGGGGTGGGACAGGGACAAGTTCTATGCGTACAGCACCAAGGAGCAGCAGGCAGTCAGCCATCCAGGATTGGGAAAGGCCATGGCTGTAGGCTGACTCCAGATTCTTGGACGCTCAGTGTAGGTATGGTTACCAGGCCAAGGAGATATTCATTTTATGTTGTTGTATTTTTTTTACAAAATGATTAATTTATTGTATTTTCTCAAAATTAAATGAGCCTGTAGGGTTTTTGGTTTTCATCCTGAACCACATGTTAGTGTCTCTTGGGAACTGTTTGAAGGACACTATTGCCCAGACTACTCTCCAGTGATTCTGGTTGAATTGCTCTGAGACAGGCCTTGGGAACTGGACATCTTTTTTTTTTCTTTTCAAACTAGTTATTTTTATTGAAGTATCATGGTTTACAATTGTTTGATAGTGTTTTACACCTGCAGTGTCAAAAACCTTCCACCTTTATCCTAATGTCCTTCTCCTCTTAACCATCCCTATCCCACTCTGCATCTATTTTTTTTAACCTTTTTATTGAATCACTGTGAGATAGACCCTTACAAAGCTGTTCATGATTGGATTTCAGTCCTACAGTATTCCAACACTCATCCCTCCCAGTGTATATTTCCCAGCACCAGTGACCCATCCCATAACCCTCCACTTCCCACCCCTGCCTGCCTCTATGGCAGGCACTTTCCAAGATATTCGAGCTGTATTTTTGTTGTTTGGGGACCGCACCAGGTGGTGCTAAGGGCTTAACTCTGGCTCTGCATGCAGAGAATGGTGGGCTCAGGGACCATATGGGATGCTGGATGGAACCCACTTTGACTGCATGCAAGGAAAGCACCTTACCAGCTTTACTATGACTCTGCCTCCCCCACCCCCGCCCTGTATTCTATTTTTGGCTCTTGGGTTATACCCAGTGATGATGGGGGCTACTCCTGGCTATGTACTCACTCCCAGCAGTGCCAAGGATCGAACCTAAGGTCCCCACGTGTTCCTACTCAGCCTGCTGAACCATATTCCCAGCTCTCCTGCAGCGTTTATTGCGGTCTCTGAGGCATGAGGGCACAGGACAGCCTGTCGAAGCTGGCTTCCCAAACACAGGTTGGGAGTAGGTTTGGTTTGTGTTGATTTGTGGGTTACACCTGGGGGTCAGGGCTCACTCCTGCCTCAGTGCTCTCCTGGCAGTGCTCAGAGGACCATATGGGGTGCTGGGGATGGAATCAGGATCAGTTACACACTAGTGCTTTATCCCCATACTGCCTTTCTGCCCCCCAGGGGAGTTTTATTTAAGGTGCAGAGGTGGAGGAGTGACCTTTAAGTGTGTGGGGACAGAGAAGGGATCCAGGGGTCCAGGCTCAGTGAACAGAACATGCCTCTGTGTGAGTTACAGAGTTCATTAGTGTGTTTAATATCCACCCTTGGATCTGATATTTTCTTTTCCGGTGCAATTTTTAGCGCTGACATGAGTGGGGGACAGTCGTAATGAGTCAGCACTGGGGTCCATCTTGGCACGAGCTGGTTTGCTCCGGTTTCTTCAGTCAAATTAAGCATCCTGGGCTAGAGATAGAGTGCAGGAGGGGGTCACAGGCCTGGCCTGTTTAGGTGCTGACTTTGATACTATGTGGCAGCTTGAGCACCACTGGAGTGGCGCTGGTGGCCCCCAGCTCCAGAGCAGTGATGAATCAGACCTGCAACACCAGCCCAGCACCTCAGGGGTGTTCCACACACACCCCAGCTTTGCTGGATGTGACCCCTATAGAAAAGATCCTTCCAGGGACCAGAGAGATGGTACAGCAAGTAAAGCACTTGCCTTGCACACGGCTGACTCTATTTCAATCCTCCGTGCTACATGTAGTCCCCTGATACCCACCAGGAGTGACCCCTGAGTGCAGAACCAGGAGCCTAGTTGGGTGCACCGCCCCCCCCCCCATAAAAAGATAACTACCTCCCGTCAAATCAACTATAAAGATTTAAGCATCTTGAAATAAAAGGATGGTTTTTACACTGAAGAGATATTCTAGGAGGCAAAGGTGCTTGACCTGAATGCAGCTGATCCCGGTTTGGGGGCCACAGTGAGGGTACAATGGGGAGGGCGCTTGCCCTGCATGCAGTCAACCCAGATTAGACTCTGGGCACCCCATCTGGTCCCCTAACCCCCACCAGGAGTGATCTCTGAGTGCAGCTCCAGCAGTAATCCCTGAGCACAGCTGGGTGTGTCCTAAAAACAAGCAAGCAAAACCATGAAGAGATCCGGATTTGGTCCTGACACAGCACCATCAGGAAAGGTCTCTGAGCTGAGAGCCAGGAGTGAGCCCTGAGCACTGCCAGGAGTGTCCCCACCAAAGATGTTCTGACTATTGCAGCTTTGTGGCATATCTTAAATATGTTAAACTTAGGCTTGTACTTGTTAAAGAATGACATTGAACCCTTACACTATAATCAAAAATGACTCAAACAAATCTTAAAAAAATCTAAATTTAAGAACAAAAACTATAAAGCTGAAGAAAAATGGGGAAATCTTCATGACTGAAAATGTTGATAATTCCTTGGATATGACAGCAAGAACAAAGTGTCAACAAAAGAAAAAAATGAAAAACTTCATCATAATTAAAAACTTTTTGCATCAAAGGACACTATTAAGAGAGTGAAAAGGCATACTTCATGGGTAGAAAATGTTTGCAGAAATCGAAATATCCAGAATATATCAAGAATGATTACAGTTTAGCAACAGCAACCAAATTGATTTAAAAATAGACTTGAACACATTTCTGCAAAGGCGATATACAAATGGCCAATAAGTACACAAAAAGATGTTTATCATCACTAGTCATTGGGAAACTGCAAACTAAAACCGCAATGAACGAGCACTTCATACCCATTAGGATGGTGATTATCTATAAAATGGGAAACAGCCAAGTGTTAACAACACTGCATCTCTTGTACATAAATGATAGTTACAGCTGCTGGGAATTAGCAATTTCTCAAAAAGTTAAACATGTTCCAGCAATTCTACTCCTCCGTATATCCTCCTGCTTCAGACTGAAACTATGAACCCAGATACTTGTGCAAATATTTATAGTGGTATTATTTACAATTGCCAAAAGGTAAACACAATTCTCACGTGTATGAAGAAGTCAGTAAATAAAACATAATATGAACATACAGTAGAATATTACTCAGCTATAAAAAATAAAATTCTAATGAAAAAGAGGAAACATATTAGTGAGAAAAACACAATTTGCTAAATGAAGGAACCAGATACAAAAAGGCAAATAAATTATTTCACTTATGTGAGATCCCTAGATAGGCAAATTCATAGAAACAGAAAGTATAGGGGCCAAAGTGACAGTATAGCAGGTAGGGAGCATGTCTTGCACGCAACTGACCTGGGTTCTATCCCTGGCACCCCATATGGTTCCCTAAGCCCACCATGAGTGATTCCTGAGTGCAGAGCCAGGAGTAGCCTCTGAGCATTGCTGGGTGTAATGCAAAAAAAAAAAACCAGAAAACATAATTGAGGTTATGAAAAAGGGTGAGGGGAGAGGGAATGGGGGTTATTGTTTAATAGGCATGGCGCTTCTGTTTTCTTTTGTTTGTTCGTTTGTTTGCTTTGAGGGGGTCACATCTGTGGTGCTCAGGGCTGACTCCTGGCTCTGTGCTCTCACTGGTGGGATTTGGGGGACAATATGGGGTGCTGGGGATCAAATCTATGTTGGCCACATCCAAGGCAAGCACCTACCTGCTATATTGACTTTCCAGCCCCCCAAATTTTTATATTTGTAGTGAGTTGCCTGATTCTGATTCCTTGGATTGAAATCTGGGGTTTATGGTGCAGAAAGATAAGCATTGGACACTGAGGTCCTTTGAAAACTGGCCTCTGTTTTTCTCCCTTCCAGGGCCTTTTTATGTTTGTTCTCTGGATTGTCATTGGCAGCACAAAATATCAGACGATCTAGGAACACAGGTGCGACGTGGTGTGGCCATGCCAGGCAGGCTTGTGTGCTCACTCTTGTGGGTTCACACCATTATGAAACCACCTGAGGATTTCTCAGAACCTCGGGGCTTTTCATGATGCTAAGAGGGAGGAATAGGAAAATGGACGTCTC